TAAAACTTGATTATTAAGTTATTTGGTAACGTGATCTATATTGGATTTGTTAAAAGACACTGGAAAATTAGGTTCTAAGCCAGCTCAGACACGTATAGAGTGTAATTCCAAATTAACACTTGATGGCGATCTATTATCTGATGTTGGTCAATTCCAAAGATTGGTGGGCAAACTAATTTACCTCACAATTACTCGACCTGATATCTCATATGCCATCAGCCTTATTAGCCGCTTTCTGTATTCTCCACGAGTTGCACATATGGATGCCGCTAATCGAATTTTGTACTATCTTAAGGGGTAGCCAGAAAGAGGTATATGGATGCGTAAACATTGTCATTCTCTTATTTCTGCTTGTACAGATGTATATTGGGCTGATAGTGATGTTGATAGAAGATTTACCACTTGATATTGCACATTTATTGGGGGAAATTTGGTGACATGGAGGAGTAAGAAATAGAAGGTTGTTGCACATTCTAGTACTGAAGCTGAATATCAAGTAATGGCTTCTACTACCAGTGAAATTATTTAGCTTCGCTTTTTGCTGAAAGATATGGGATTTTGTTCGTTACAACCCTCCCAAATATTTTGTGATAATCAATCTGCTATATATATTGCTTCAAATCCAATTTTTCACGAGCGGACAAAACACATTGAAGTTGATTGTCATTTTATACGAGAACAAGTCCGAGCCAAGGTTATTTGCACTCCCTTCATTTGTAGTAGCCAGCAATTGGTTGATATTTTCACCAAAAGCTTATCAACTGCCAAATTTCAGGAGATATTGTCCAAGTTGGGCTGTATCAATATTTTCGCACCAACTTGAGGGGGAGTGTTGGAACAGAGAGATATTTTGTAATTTGAATAATATTTGCTAATATTGAAAAAAATATTATGGCATGATNCGGAATAGAATACGCTGTGTGTCCTAACCAGATGCCGTGGGGCGATAAGGGGTGCTTTATCTAAACTAGGCAGGATAACTTGGCTAACTTTCCTACTCTGATAGCATCTCTGAACGGCAGGTACCCTCAACCGCCGTAACGAAGGAATGAATCTATTAAGTGGGAAAGAGCCCTCGGCCTCATTCATATCTTACCCGGCAAAGGCCTCTCTCATCCTTATGCTGAATCGAGATTTTCTTGGTCTTCTTTGACCCTCGGGGAGGAAAGCTGCTCTTGCTCTTGTTCTCTTTGCTCTTTAGAAAATGGTTTCTGTGAACAAGGAAGAAGGGCTGCTTTACTCTAGATCGAATGCTACTGGATATTTTTTTTCCCAGCGGGAGGGAAGTCAACAGAGGGTATCAATCAACAAGAAAGTCATGAAAGAGAGAAGATGGTGCTATTCCCTTAGCTAGCTTGGACTAGGAAGAAGGAATTTTCTCTAGAACCGGGCTAGGAACCCGAGAAAGGAGAATGTGAAAAGCGATACGATAAGAGAACAGGTCTTTTCGGATAAGCTGTTGCCGCTCTTCTGTTAGAGCTCTTTAGTCCCATCCCTACCAAAAAAGATCTCCCCTTAAAAGGGAGCGAGTGACTCTCGTCTCGGTGTTCTCGAAAGGGAATTCTTTGACCGGCGGGTGCGAATCGGTAGCTGTTAAACAAGCTCTGGCTTGTTGACTGCTTTACTTTTAGCTTTTTCGTGGGGCATGGAAGGAGTTGATCCTGGTCGAGGTAAAGGGATTTAGGAATTCATACCCGGTTCCAGGGAAAAGGCAAGGAACTTTCAAATCGTCTTCTAACAAAAAGTCTTTGAAAAGCGGTGTCAACCGGTCTTTACTGAAGGATTAAGTGCGAAAGCACTTTGCTTTTTTTCACAAAGATCTAGCAGTTAGGTGCAGGCAGTTACTGAAGTGGAAGCCTTTCCCACCCTCTAAGGATTCAACAAGAATTGGAGACCTGTGACCAGTGTCTAGTTAGTCAAGGAAGAGAAGGGCTTGTTTGCAGGACAAATGCCACAGAAGGTAGCAAAGCAAGAAAAGAAGGAAGAACTCGTCAGGCAAGAAGGGACTTTTAAATTGAAGAGCATTATTAATTATGTAAAAGAAAAGATTCCGTCCCAGTATACCATTCATCAGACGATTAGTGCATCTCCGATCTCCTTCGTGCTAATCTCGACCCAAGGACGTATAGATGAATTCCCACGGTTTAGTTTAAATCATATAGAAAAGTATGGCAAACGTCTTGATAAAGGAATCACTCCAATAAGTGGACAGATTTCCATCGTCAACTACAATCAATTGTTTGTCTTTGGACATGCAAGAATTCGGCAAATTTGATTGGTTGACGTCTAGAAAAATGTTGTGGGCCTCTAAAGCACTCATATATATATATATATATATATATATATATAAAGAATTTAGCATTCTTTGAAGTTGTAATAAATTCGCCCTCGTTTCCTTTTCTTGGAACATTTCGTGTATATATAAAGATTTTAGCATTCTTTGAAGTTGTGAACATTTCGTATTACTCTTCCATTATACATCAGGCAACATGGAAAATATCAAGATAATCACTAGCAAATCTTTATTACACGGAAAATTTAAGTTCGATATATAAAGGGATTTTTTGCTTAGCTTTTCTACTATATATTCAGTATTGGCCTATTGGCAGGCTAGTATTCAATCAATATTCAACTGCTTTAACACTCCTTTTCCTCTTTTCTCTCGAAAGTCCATCTTCACTTTTCAGCCATGGCATTCGTTAAAGCATCCGTACTTTTCTTGTTGATAGTATCGACTATCTTCGGGGCATCCATGGCTGCTGTACATCAGGTTGGCGATTCCCATGGTTGGAATGTCTTTGGAACTGAATACAAAAAATAGGGTGCTACCTAGAACTTCCAAGTTGGTGACTCCCTAGGTAAACTCTATAATTGCGTGATTGTGTCTGAGCCATGAGAGTTTCTCGTTTTAACTTTTATGCACATAAATTTTTCTGCTGACTGTAGATTGCGCTCTGTGCAGTTTTCAACTAGAACCCTCAATTTCATAATGTTCTACAAGTGTCTGCCCAAAATTATGCGACATGCACATCCTCAGCACCACTTTCCAGCTTCAACAGAGGAAGCGATTCAATCCCGCTTCCAGCCTCTAGAAATTATTACTTCATCTGCAGCTTCCCAGGCAACTGCCAAGCTGGACAGAAAGTTATGATCACGGTCCCAAGCAATCCTTATACACCAGGCAGTAACACTACCCCAACCGGTGGTGCCCAAAATTTTCCAGGGTATGATCCTACAATGACTAATAGTGTGACTTCTTGTCTTTCCTCCTGCAAACTTGGACTGCTGATTATTCTGGGCTCATTGCTGCTGGGCTTCCACCTGCACTAAGAGAAAGTTAGTTTGATCAGTTTTCTCCTTTTTAGTCAAAGTCATATAGTTTTTTTGATTTACATGTAGGGATATCAAAATTAATAGGAGTTTTTGTTTTATCATCTTTCTTCACAATCCTCTGCTCTGTTAAATAGAGATTTCAGCACGAATGATTTTTGTTTAATTCTCTCTTTTTTACATTACTCTGTTCTGATTATCATGGAATCAATAACTGTGGGCATATATAGATTGGCACTCAGCATTATTCTCTTAAACAAGCCATTGAAAGCAACCGAATCTTAATTGCATAGAATCAAATAGGTCCCAGGACAACAAATAGGCCCCATTTCCAATAAATTTTGGGTCGGTATCCGTTTGGTTTATTACTAGATCTAATGTAGATATAAAGGAACTAAATCTTTAAAGCAAATAGGACACCATTTATAATGAAAAATAAGACAAATTAAGAGTATGCATGTGATTAATAATTCCATTGCACCCCTCTAATGGCAAAGAAGAGGAGAAAGAATTAAATAGACTCTGTTGATTTCCCACATTACATTTTTCCTACAAACAGAACTCCAAGAAAAAGGAATTTGATGAATTCAGTTGCAAGAAAATGGTCAAAGAAACGGAACATCAATGAAAAACTCATCGACAGCTGCAGAAAGTTTTCTGGCCAAACCCCTAGCTAGTGGTAGCAGAAATTGGTTTCCAGTCGACAACCACCAAGCCTCCCAATTTCTGTTGTTTAAAGGCACCGAAAGACCCTTAACTTGTTTAACAATTGATGAAATTATGAAAGCAATTACATGATGATAACAAAGAATGCTTTATAGAAGTAAAAAGTAAAAAAGAGTTAATCTGGCACGAAACTCTGCCATGAAAATGTAAAGCATGAGGAGAGTAAGACTCTGTACCCATCCTTAAAAAGATAATCCTAAATTCTTGGTTGATACCTCTTTTCTTTTTTAATTTTTCATGGTCTCAATCCACTAATAGGGTGAGTAATCTATAGAAAAGTAAACCAAAAAGCTCAAGAACATCAAGATAAATATTTGCACATCTTACTTTGTTTTGTTTTCCCACTCTTTATCAAGATCTTGAATCTTTCCTGTTGTTTCAACAGTATACAACTGCAATTCTTCCTATAGAATGTATACTTGTTTAATCATATAGTATCATTAATGCTAAATTCAATCCATATGCTGTCAATGTGTGAATGATGTAGACTATTTATTATGTCTTCAAATAAGTGATAACTTAAGGTAACCGTTGTACGATGGATATCACTTTACCAATTTCGGCATAAGCTTTTGTCCCACATCGATAGTATTTAAGAAGATGCTTCTCTTTATAACGTCAGTGATAGTAGGAAACAAACAGCTGGGCTTATTAACGTGGGCCTGTAACCCAAGTGGGGGCATTAAAGTTATTGAATAGGTTGTTGAAAAAAAGTAAAAAACGAAAACTAAAAAGAGATTTCCACGTTCCCACGCAGAAAAGACAAAAAAATCAAAAAAATTAAAAATCACAACCACCTAGACGATACCTTTTATTGTTTTTACTTTTTCCCTATAAGCTAGCAATTAATTATTATTTGAGATGACCCAACTTCTTAATTTTTCGCATTTCAATATTAGGTAAAGCCAAAAAACGCCAAAAACCCATTACAGTCGAGGTAGGGTCGAATACAAACTGATAATTGAACCATGATTAAATTGATTTCTCATATTTTTCTGAACTCATTTTCAGCCTCTTCTTGAAATTCACAAGATGTTAAACCTTGTACGGGAAACAGTCATTAGGCTCAGGCCTTTTGAGGTAGATGAGGCTTCTTATCAGAAGGAGAGATATCCGAAGTTTTTTGTTAGATTAAAATGAAAATCACTCCTGATAATGGAACTTTGGGAAAGACGAGAGGAAATTGACAAGCTTATGACGGAGGTGATCAAAGTATCTCACAATGCTAACAGAGGATTTTCAGTTTGCATTGCCAACATTTTATATTTAAGTCTAACCAAAACTTGAAGGCCAAATTCTTCAATTCTTCATGTATGTATATCAGCAACAAAGGTTGTCTATAAAATTAATATGAACAGCTTATTATCTTCTTCTTATCCCTAAATTGAGAAGCATAAGTTTAATCAAGAAGAAAATTTTCAGAAATGGGATAAAACTAGTATACTACATACTCCCCAGTCCCCACCCGAATGAAAAACAGAAGAAGATGAAAACCCCTTCTCACGTGACTGTAGATTTCTCAATTTCCATTTTTGTGCAACTTACAATAAAAATTGCAGCACTAAATAACATTGAACCTGGAATGAAAGAAAAATCAGGGGAAAGAAAAGGCAAAAAAGAGAAACATTGATCATAAATATAGATTGATTCATAGGATACATGTAAACCATTCGAGGAAGAAACATATATTTCCTTTAATTTAATACAAATTGACAGTTTTTTTGTTACTGACCTGGCGATAGCAGTCGAACAATGGAGATAGAATTATTCCAAAGTTTGGAGGAAAATCTATAAACACTTACTTTTATGAATGGAAAATCATGCAATTTAAATACAACAGTGATCAGTGGCGGATCCATGATCTTGAGTGAGTATGGGTGGCCATTGACCATAATAAAATATTAAAAATTAAATATATCAATTACTTTGCTAAAATTGAACATATATATTTTTGTTATATTTATTGTCTTTATTCACCAAATGACGTAATGGCCAAACTTTGCATAATTCAAAAGAAGAGCACGTGTTCGAAT